TTCTGGTTTGGTTCCGGACCTGGTTTAGTCCTGATTCAGTCCTTGTTCAGTCGAATGAACGAATGATACACGGATTCTTCTCCTTTACAAAATGATTCAAATTGTCCAGAGCTCCAGCTACTCATTCATACACGAGCATCCGATATTCTCGTGATATTACGACTTTATTTTGACTATGACTTTATTCTCATAAAATTACTACTTTATTCTCGTAAAATTATTACTTTATTCCTGTAAAATTATGACTTTATTCTTATAATATTACAACTTTAATGTCGAAATATTATGACTTTATTCCCGTAGTGCCAGCATCATCTTTTTTTTTTTTAATCTAAGCCTTATACTCCGTCGTAGACTAAAAACCAAGATTTAAAACAAACTTATTCTGCACAATGGACTTTTCAGAGCTTTTAAGTGTGTTATAGTCACTTTCCTTCCTCATTGACCCTTTCAAAGTTGCATTTAGAGTGATTCATGCATGTTTGAGTCATATTTTTCTCCTGTATTTTCGACATCATTGGTCTGATTAACCGGCAACAGTACACGTCCCCCGTCACATACTCTACTGAATTCCTTCTCCAATATTATTTTTTAAATCGTTACACGTAGGATTTGTATAAACGTCATTGTTAGATCCACTGACGCATAAGTTCCAGCTTCCACAGAATGCTGTTGTTGTGTTCTTGGGCAACCCATTTCGTCCTTAACCCATTTCGTCCTTAACCCATTTTGTCCTCAGTGCCTGGGTACAGAAGTGTATGAGTGTTTGTAGATTAGAGTGGATCGGGCTGATTTTTGACCTGATTTTTGATTTGATCTGACAGAGCAGTGATTGAATCTGACCCGAGCCCTATAGGCTTTAAGATTAGGGATGGACATGATTAGTCGATTAATCGATAATTGATCATTAAGAATTTCATCGATTACATTCATTTTAATCGACAACCCGAATGTAGGTTGCTGTGTGTAGCGTGACCAAACAGGTGTGTACATGTGTCTCTGCATCAGAAGGAACAAGACACAAACAGTGGGTCAGTCTGCAACGTACTGAAGCACAAATGTGGATTTAACGATGATTTGTACAAGAAATTCCACGCTTTCCGTTGCGTTGGGGACAAGTGTGAGTCCATGTGCACAGTGGATAAAGCAGCACATATGTTTCTGTGTCCAGTGGGAAAAAGCTTTGCCAGGTGAGAGTCGCTCAATGTCGATGACGAGGCCCCGCCCCCCTCCCCCCGTACGCTGTCCTGGTTTTGACAAACGCAAATCTGGTCACACTAACCTGTATTCACCTGAGTCATGTCTTTTAATCCAACAGAAGTTGAACCACATCAGCGACACATGAGCTGTAGTTTTATCTTCGCTTAATTTATGCAAATGAGCGATGCAGTTTTAAGTTTTGTTTCTGTGAGAGTTGAGCTAAACTGAATTAAACACATAATGTCAAACAGCTGATGTGGCTCTAGAGTCGTTACGGTTTATATGTCGTAAAGTTGAATTTATTTATGCAGATTAGTAGTAATAATGATGATGATTTTAATATAAAAATGTTCATGATTAATCGATAATCGATCGTTAATTCTTCCGACGATCGATTAAGAAACTTTCATCAAATGCCCATGCCTAATTAAGATATTTGTGTCAGAGTCCGACCGAGCCCGACACAATTACAGTCACACTATTTTCCAGCTAATGACACATGTAGGACATTGTTTTATGTGGAACTATGTTGAAATGTTTCCACACAGTAGAGTTTCTTCTCTCATGTTTGGTGGTTTTAAATATTCCAGAGGCTAACTTGTTTTTGATATTTTCCATCTCCGCTACCACGTCTACACAACTGCACTGACTGCACCTGTTTCATTGTCACAGCAAGACAAATCTCCATCCATCCATTCATCCATTTTCTTCCACTTATCCGGGGCTGGGTCGCAGGGGCAGCAGTCTAAGCGGGGACTCCCAGACTTCCTTCACCCCAGACACTTCCTCCAGCTCCTCCAGGGGGGGATCCAGAGGCGTTCCCAGGCCAGCCCAGAGACATGGCTGGGGTAACCTAATATTTTAATTTCACAAAAACAAACACTTGTATCAAGTGAAACAAACCAACATCAAGCAAATTCTGACAGGGGAACACCGGCTTGTCTCCATTCAAGGTTGTATAGAGGATTTTTTAAGGGAAAACAAATACAGCGACTGTTCTTTTTCAAATGTTGTGCATGCGTGACACCACCTTCCTCTTCCACTGCTCCCTCAGTAGAAACACTTCCTCCCGCCTCCTTACTCGAGAAATCACGCATGTTTACAGCCAGTGTGCGTTCAGAATTATTGTTGAAGTTTCCTCTCTAGAGGTAATTTAGAGACCGATGCATCAGTTTTTAGACCCTTCGTCTGCTTCATTCGCACAATCGCTGGAAGGAATCTCCAAGAATCACCTCAGTTTGTCTTCGCTCTTTTTCCCCTTCTCCTCTTCTTTCAGGGACCTCAAAAACTGACTTTCTTTTGCAGCGAACTGGTCGTGGATTCTCGTCCGCCATCGCAACAAACTTTAGCTACAATTTGTAAAAGCCTCTAAGAACCGCCGCATAAACCACGTAATCCCCGCGCACCAGCAAGTCAGTTACAAGAGAAATGTAGGGAGTTTGATTGACAACCTAACAGCCACTAGATAATGAGGTAGCCTTGTTTTCTATTGGCTGATGTTTATCTGGCCTCACTACGTCTGCAGTTGATAGATTTTCACTCTTTTTTTTTTTTGGTCATCATAATTACAAGGCTGCTGCGTCTCTGTATTGGTATTTTAAACTTTCACTGACAATGTGAAACAAAAAAAAAATCCTCCATACAACCTTTCAGTGGCCCATCTCTGTGCGCACCATCCTAGACTCTGACACTCTGTCTCTGTCCACATAATGCATGGATCACAGCACAAGTCCAAGAAGCAGGTAAGGTGCTATTATGGCCCAAACTTACATTTCAAATGTCTTATAGCTGTGTCCGAGTCTCACCCGAGCCCAAACATAAGTTCTAAATATTTGTCTGAGTCTGACCGAGCCCTCTGGGATTCGCTGGTTCCCCTTGGACTTTGGTCAGGTTTCCATGCTCTAATGTGAATGAGTGAGTCGTTTCTTGATGTAAAGTGCTTTGAGTGCCTTGAAGGTAGAAAAGCATTGTATAAAAATGTGACACTTTGCTCTAGTCATGGAAGCAGAGGGTTAGCAGTTCAGTCTCCAGTTTGAAACTGTTGGGCCCTCACATTTAGTGAGGGCTCTTTCACATGACAGAGAAACGAATGCCTATAATTCACACAGCCAGTTGTTTCCTTGTGAGGGAGCTATAGAGCACACCCTCACTCATCAGGTGTACACCTTCATGTTTTCAGTTATAGACTGTGTCCCAATTCAAAGGGCTGCAGCCTCCGAAGGCTGTGAAGGCTGGGTCCTTCGTCGGCCGTGAAGCCTGCAGCCCTTGAACTGGCCTCCGCGGACGCCAGGCCGTTGTGGAAATGGGACAGTCTAGACCTCGGAGCCGCTCCCCTGTCGCCCAGCAACCGAGGGACGCTGCTAGAGCTAATGCTAATGCTAACACGCTCCGCACAGATTACACACACGGATCAGTAAAAAGAATACGCACAGGTCATCAAACTTTCGGATTTTGTGACCAAATTATTTTAATAACTTGCATCCAAATCTTATGGCCAAAAACGAAAATGTATGTTTAACTTTTGCAAAACAAAACGGCTATATTTAAAGGGATACATCTTAAATAGACTAAATTATCTTAAAGTTTACAAAAATTGATAAGATATGCATTACTAAATATTATCATTATTAAGGATTTGTAAAGAAAGAAAGACATCTCTCCTGAGAAAAGCTGGTTTATTAAACAATCCAAGGAACTTCTGGAAATACTTTATCATAATATGAAGTCAAATATTAAACCCATTACACACACTCTGCATTAACAGGTTAGTACAAACAGCTGTATGTCAGTAAATCTCATTGTGTTCCCTTTTTGCTGAAGCAAGTAACAATCAAAAATGAACAAAATATCTTTGCCAAATATGATCATGTGCAATACCACAGCTTATCTGCAGTACAATAGTACATGTAATTAGTTACTATCAAAAGAGACATCAAATAAATGGCACATTTCACCATAAATCAAATGTCAGTACAGACTGAAAAACATTCAGAAAAACTTATGAGCAGATGTTTTCATTTCTGTCTCACACACTTGTTCAGATCATATGAGACTCTGGACCTCCTCCTGAGATACTCTGGACATGGACAGTGGAGACATGGACAGTGGAGACATGGACAGTGGAGATGGACAGACATGGAGTGGAGACATGACAGTGGAGACATGGACAGTGGAGACATGGAGTGGAGACATGGACAGTGGAGACATGGACAGTGGACATGGACATGGAGACATGGACAGTGGAGACATGGACAGTGGAGACTTGGACCACTCAGTCTGATGTGTCTCTCGTCTTCTGGAGGAGGAAGAGCAGAGTGGGTGTTAGGTCTGATTGATTCAAAGTTCTGTCCTGCAGAGTGAAAACCTGGAATGACAAACACATTAAGAAAACTACAAAACTATTAGAGGAAAATAAGTTTCACAGAACATGTAGCCCCAAAGAACACCTGGACTCCCCCCGCACTATTTACATTCATTATTATTTATTTATACACAAGGGAGTGAGGAAAACAATTCTTTATATGTTTTTCGTATGAAGAACAATAAACAATTTTAACGTTGAACTTAAACTTTGATGTACATTCAGATTCAAAGGCAGTTTATATCTGAAACAGCTAAATGAATAGAGGAATCCCACACATGTGAGAAATACATATTTTCACAATTTAAAATCATAATATCAACATGAGCATGATTCATTTGCAGCTCTTATTATTAGTAGAATTTTCAATGTAACATGCCCCATACCTAATCGTTGGCAGGAGTCTGGGTCAGTACCTCCAGCTCAGTGTGGCCTTTACTTTGTCATCTGCATTTGACCCATTTTATGAATCACAAGCATCTTGTCAGCCAACAGTTCTGTGGCCCCTGCAGTGTGTTGTGTCCTCATACTGGAGGCTGCAGATGAGAAAAGAAAATTCATGTAAAACAGATTTCTCATTGTTATAACATTAGATGTGACAGAGTGAACAGACACAGTCAGGTCGTATCTACACCAGGTCGTATCTACACCAGGTCGTATCTACACCAGTGTCTGCACAAATCTGTTCAATGAGCCTCATGTCCATCATAAATCTGACCTGTCCAGGCAGGATTATTTACTCTTCACTTTACAAACATGCACGGATTGTTAAAAGCAGATAATGTATTCCCTGAATGAAATGCACACGTTGGAGGTTTATGTGATTATGTGATTTACAAGTAAATATGAGCTTTGATAGAGTCAGACTGAGTCTTTTCAGTTGAATGTATGAAATAATGTGTTTTCATCTTAACTCCGAGCTACACTGACCAACTGTTTACATGTTTACACTGTCCGTGAAAACGTGGAGTTTTCTCCTCGTAGCTTCTTTAAATCACTCCGTGAGCTTCTTTTCCCCTAACAGTAAAAACATCATTAGTGTTTGATGGAAATGTGTCCAAATATGAAAGTTTGAGCGGATTTTTCATCGCATTAGCTGCACATCACTAGTCAAACTTTAGCTCAAAACTCCGCGGTTCACGCAGTTAAAAACTAACTTATTTGACAGTTTTGTGGGAGTTATGGTCGTACTTTACGTTTACAGTTGTGTTAGTAATGATTTCCTAAAGTTAAAAGTGTTACTCACATGTTTTTCTCCGCTCTCCGGACGGGCTTTTTGCTGCGTGTTTTCGAACATCTGACTGCTGCCGCGGTGCATGCTGGGATACTGAAGGCTGTGAAGGATACTCGGATGTGTCCTCCGTTCGCGGCCCCATCTCCATGGAAACGAGGCTGGTTTTAGGGCTGCATTTGAAGGCTGCATGACATAAAAATGAAATGGGACAGGCCTTGTTTCACCAGAAGTGACGTATGCGGCTTTAAAACCAGCCTTCAGAGGCTGCAGCCCTCGAATTGAAACACAGCCCCATTCATTTGATGCCATGTTAATTTTCCCTGTTTCACTCCTTTTTTCCTTTCCTTTGAGGTGATTGGTGGAGGCACTGATTTGGAGGCGTGTCCTTATCAGTGCAGGCCAGGTGCATCCCATCGCCCTGATTTGGACTCTGCCAAGTGCTGCTGGGGGAGGGGAGGTTTAACTGTCAAAATGGTTTTAACTATCTAACTAATACATGAAATAATAATGAAAAACTGATAATCCTGATGTTACAAAGTGCAATATTAGTTGATGAAATGTAAATAGTTGTAAATCTTATCTTATATTTAGTAGTTTTTAAAAGTTTAAATTGACCTGTTTGGGCATTAGTGGTTTAGGCCAAGCTATATAAGGGGAATTGTTTTGTCACAGTGTTGTTGCCTGTTGTCTGTCATGGGGACATGCGGTCAGATCTGCTCATGGTGTGGCCAATAAAAAAAAAAAACAGGAGAAGAACTTATTCTCTTTCCTTCGTTTTTTTGTTGACCCTTGGGTGCTATGGCTTTCCTGGGCTACTAAGAGGCCAGAGTTACATCCGTAATCTTACATTCCTATTTTTTTTTTTTTTTTAAATACAGGAGCAATTTCTTACAGTCAATTTTATTCCCCTCCTAAAATAGCTGCTTTTGCAACACACTTTATGATGCAGTATAAAAAATGATGCTACTGTTGATCATATAAAAGCACTACTGTTACATCTGTAAGTGCACCCTCCACCCTGCACCCAGCACCCTGCTCTGTCTACACTGTTCCAGTTTCACCTTGTCTGTGTGCAGGTCGGAGTGGTCCTGACAGCGTCATACTAGAGCCTGTTTGACCTTTGCTGTTTAGCCGCTGTGGAGTGTCTTATGTCCTGATATGGCGGTGCCCCTGTCCGACCCCTCCCCGCCGGGCCCCTGAGGCTGCCCGGCCCCTCCCCCACCCCCCGCGGGGCCCCAAACACTGTACTGTGCTGTATACACGAGGGCTGACACATATGCTCCGTGCGGGGGTCACACTGCCACGACACGCCAGCTGTAATCAGTGTCACATCACCGAGAGGAGACGTTTCAAACTATTATTCAAATCAGGTCTGGAAAAACTGAGAATGGACATAGTACCGTGTTTGTGGAGCCACTGAAATGTTAAAGGGAAGATACACTGTGGAAATTTTCTGCTAGATAATGAATTAATTAGGGAGAGACAACCAGCCTAAGTTTTATTAACAGAGATTGTTTAAATTAATTAACATTTCTGTGAATGTACTAGAATTACTCAGAGGATATTTCTCTTCTGAGGTCTCTGGACAGATGATAAAAAGTAAAAAAAATAAATAAAAAAAAACAAAGTTTCAGGCAGCACTGATTTAAATTGTTAAATCTTTATACAGCGCTTTCCCCCCTATGTATTCAAAGCTCTTTACATCAAGGAACCACTCACACATTCACACACCAGTGTACGCAGACCCTGGGGGCGAGGTGGGTTAAGTGTCTTGCCCAAGGACACAACGACAACATTCATCTGTGGAAGCTGGACCCACATCAGTCAACCTGTGGGTCAGTGGATCTGACCGCTCAACCAACAGTGTTGGAGTAACAGATTACATGTACTGGAGTTACATAATCAGAGTACAAATTATGAGTAACTGTATTCAGTTACAGTTACTGTTTCAGTGAGTGGTAATGGGATTACAGTTACTTTGTTGAAATAAAAGGATTACACGGCGGTATTTTCCTGTTTTCACATTTTGGGCTATATCCCTTTTTTTTCTTTTTTTTTTCCGGTAATTCCACTCAAACTAAACCAGGTCTAAACAAGAACTAAAACCAGGACTAAACTAGATCTACACTAGAACTAAATCAGGACTAAAACACGTCTAAAACCAGGACTAAACCAGGACTGCAACAGGATTTAACAGGACTAAATCATGCTGTGTGGACGTGTCTCCTTCTCTTCTATCTAATAATATTTTTAATACGGTTCAGTTACGTCTGGGCTTTTTATTGTCTTTTATCAGACAAAACATCTTATGTTATGATATCCTAGTCTTTGCTTCTCTACAGCAAATCAAGTAATCCAAAGTATTCAGATTATGTTACTTTAAGTAATATAATGGATTACGTTACAAACTATATTTTGGGGTATGTAATCTGTAATCTGTAGGGGAATACATTTTAAAGTCACCTTCCCAACACTGTCAACCAATGATGTTGATGAGTTACTGTTGCCCAATACATAGAAAGCATCATTTACCTACATTTGAATTTGGACATCAGAACAGAAACAATGTCTTTTAAGTAGTTGGAAAAGAGCAATGGACCTAGAATTGAACCTTGTGGAACACCGATGACTAAAGACAGGTTTGAGTGTTAAACATTGATTTGAAACAGCTGATGCCACTAGGATAAGGCACATGCAAGATCTGTGGAGAGGCGACCCCACTCATGATGAGAATAGATGCCTTTTTTTTTTTTTTTTTTTTTTTTTTTTTTAAGAGATTTTGAGCAATATAAACTGAATAAACGTAACATAGATATGATTAATGCCATACTTTGGAATAGTCCATGAAATAAATAAACAAATAATTCAGTGATTTTTCACCTCTGTATGAAACTGTATTGTAAAACAGTATGTGCTTAAGCAAAGTTTGAACCTGCAGATATATAGTTAGTAGAGGTGTGCAAAAATTGAAATATCAATGTATCGATATCGTGGGCTGCTGTATATTTTTGGTATTTTTTACAAATTTTTTTTGTTAAAGCTACAGTTTTTGTTTTTGTAGAAGAAAACTCGTTTGTTTATGTGACACATTTGACATTTTCACTGTTTTTGAGGATTAAAATGTTTGTTTCATATGAACTTTGCACAAGAAGTGGTTTAACAAAGACTTTTAGTATCACAGACATGATTTAGCCTTTATTTTTCATTGAACTGTATTGAATCGATTTGAAATATCGTATCGAATAAAAAGTGCACTGTATCGAGAGATGTATCATATCATGGCCTTTGTATTACGGTATGTATTGAATCAGCAAATTCTTAATGATACCCAGCCCTAATAGTTGATGGTAATTTATTCTTGTATTAGCTAAGTTTGTTTTAGTTTATTTTCGTTTATGTGCTTATTTATCAGGGACATGCACATAAAAACATAAACCTACAAAAGAGCGCATGTGTTTGTGCCAGGTTAAAGCAAAACTGATAATTTCCAGTTTTAGTCCCTGGATAGGTTGATATTAAAAATGGCGTGCATACCAATAAAATAAAATGTATTAATGCAATCATCCATCCATTAAATCATTACGTAAAACTAGTCCCAGTGAAACTCAGTCACCACATCCATACGATATTTACTACACACATACAGTTCATGTTGTTGTGTAGTAAATAATGAGCACAAGACCCTATAATTTTATTGAAATTCTATTTCTGAGATCTTCCTTTTGACTTCCTATATATGTACTTAGACCAGGACAAATACAAATGCGACAACAAAACAAAAAGCCACAACACACAAAAAAAACACACAACAGGAATGATCGCGGGACTCTATTTTAATGCAAACGCCGCAACAAATACAAATGTCACAACACAAACGCAAATGCCGCAACACATTAAAAAGCCACAACAGAAGTGACCGCGGGACTCTATTTTTCGACGGACCGATCAAGCGGCAAGTGAAGAATTACAACGTGAAAAGTAAAGGAACGGAGAAGTTGGAAATGTAAGCAAAAGTAGTTTATTGTTTTATCATTATTCATTTCACGTTGTAGTTTTTCTTCTTCACTTGCCGTTTGATCGGTCCGTCGGAAAATAGAATCCTGCGGTCACTTCCGTTGTGGCTTTTTGATGTGTTGTGGCTTTTGTATTTGTTGCGGCATTTGCATTAAGAGTCCCACGGTCATTTCCGTTGTGACTTTTTTTTTTGGTGTGTTGTGGCTTTTCGTTGTGTTGTCGCATGTATTTGTTGCAGCGTTTGCATTTGTTGTGACCCCTCTCGGCTTCTGTACAAATGTCACTACGGTAACGAACAAATGCCTATTAAGGATTATTTTATTATCAGCAAAGAAAACATTGACAAGAAAAAGGCTTCAAACTGATGTACCAGTGATGGAAGAGTTGTTCAACACTGTTCATCAAATATTTTTGATTGAAAGACTTGCAATGTCATTGAGACTTCAAAAGGAAACATTTTTGGCAGTGTTTTGGCAGAAGTGGATCTAACATTTAGCTGTTTTGAGACCTGACTGTGTGAATCATTTGTCTAACAGAAAGGAGGTAAAGAGAGGAGACAAGGTTTTAAAAATTAGTTTTCACTTGCCCTTTTGTGTTTGTTCTGTACAATCTAACTGGAATTATTTGACTTGTCTGGATGTCAAGCATGTCAAGTAACGTAGAATGAATGAATGAGTGAATGTGTTTGTAGATAAATTGTGCTCCCAATGTAAATGACTTGTACGAGTCCATTGATAAAAATAATAATTTAAAAAAAAAAAAAGTTGATAGCCAAGGTCAGTTAAATACAATCAATCAATGAATCAACCCAGGGACTATAGTTGGAAATTAGCACTGATGCTACAACCTGATGTACAATGCATCTCTCCTGATTAAGGTTAAAGTAAAAATTGTGTGCTGTCCCTGTGTCAAATAAATGAATAAATAAATTTTAATAAATTGTTTGGATGATAAGTTGCACTTTTTTTTCCTTGTTTGGGTGTTTCCTGAGAATTATACGCCGGTGCGACTTATATATTAAAATTTTCATATTGACTCTGTGCTCTAGTCTTATGTGTGAGTATCTGCTGCTCCTGTTCCTCCTGTACCACTGTCACTTCACTCTACTGCACATGTCTCCTGCAGAAAGAGCCT